GAAGGTTTTATATTATACTCTGAGTTTTAGCTCAAGCATCCTATCTCTAAAGGAAGATTGTAAATCCTTAACAAGACAAACAGGAGGAATTCCCTCAGTGCTTATCTCTAGGGAGGGTTGTAAATCTTTAGCCAACTTGGCTCAGAAGGAAATGACAGCCCCTGGCCTTCTCCTCACTAATTAGCAGCAATAAAACTGTGTAAATAGCCATGAGTTTAAAGTTTTGTATTTACTTTGATTAAGAGCTTTTAGGCCAAGATTTTTTGTAGACACTGCTTTATATCAGGTTGCCCTTTCAGTTAAAATGTAAACTTTGTATTGTTGGTAAAAGTCTGAATGTTCCAGGAAGTATGTCAACTTTAAGGTGCTTCTTTATGTAATCACTATATAAGTGTTAGCTTGACTTCAGTAAATCGCAGCAGATTCAAACACTTTCTGGTGTGCGCATCTGTCTGTCAAATCTGCCTAACCTGTGTCTACCTGATATCCAAACCTCTGATTTTCCCACAGGTGTGGGACTCTGGCTGGGCCGGTCCGTGGCAGACAAATTTGAAAATTTTTGGGGGAGATGGCACTGTGCTGTGGGCTCCTTCATGAAGGAGGGATGCCAGGTGTGGACTTGCAGTCAGGCATTCTGGGAGATATCAATCTGGAGATGACTTCAAGGAACACAGTGAGAAAGCAAGACAGGACAGGAAATGCTTGAAGATTGAGACCCTAGATGCGATGCTGGAGACGGTGTCTATATACAGATTCATGGGAAGGTAGGATTTCAGGACAGAGGGATGTCGCAGAAGTGGGAGAGGAAGCCATGCAAAGTTGCCACTATCTTGATCCATGGATAGGGAGGGCTTGGGAACAGATACTCCACTTGTCCTCCTTGAAATGAGTGTGTGGCCTCAGTCATACTCCTAGTAGATTGCTAATGAGACCCAGCTGATTATTTAAATAAAATAGAATGAGCTCATGGAGAGTTGGAGCTATATTATATAAATACAGGTTTATTGGGAGCAGCGAGGGAAGGGGAAGAGGATGGAGAAAGGGAAAAGGAAAGGGAAGAAGAGTGTGCATTGGTGTGGGGGGAAGGGAGAGAGAGGGCAGGAAGGGAGAAAAAGGGCCCCCAAAAGGGCCTATAGAACCAAGATGTCTGGTTGTATAGTGAAGGGCCTCTGTGAGAGAAGCCCTGCCCCTAGGTGGAGGGCAGGGTATGGCAGCCATGCCCTGCACCAATGTGTTCTGGGTTTCTGTCAGCAGAAGGAAGTTTCCCTCCAATGAGGCTTAAAGGGTTAGCAGCCCATATTTGCATCAGGATCTGAGTCTGACCTAGTGCAAACAAGAGAGGAGTCTGAGTGGGAAGGAGGAAGTAATGTAGAATGTGATCATTAGTGAGTATTGGGAACAGGCCTACCAGGACCTTTCAGCTCAGAGTGCACTGTACATGTTTGTGGTAGAACAGAGTATATATAATCCGCCCCCATTGTTCTCAATCCAGAGTTTTTCAGGACTTGTTAACTCTTGTCATATGCGGCTCGCTGACAAGGTTGGTTCAGAGTCAAGAGAACACCCAGGAAAAGATAGGCAGCTGAGAGGTGGGATGAGGGTGAAGAGGAGGGCAGGCAGGCTGACCAAGGAAAGTGGTAGGAACAAGAAAAACAGCTCTCTTACAGCTTTGTTTGTTTGGTTTGGTTTTGAGATTGTTTGCTTGTTTACTATGTAGCACAGGTGAACTATTGGGCTCCAACGAGTGTTGATTTTCCTGTCTCAGCATACCAAGTACTGGAATTACTGGCACGAGCCACATACTGGGCCCGAACAATGTTTAACAAGGGGCAGAGAAGCGACTAGGAGTGCCCTACACTCTATCCCACTCCTGTAACATCTGAGACTTTGTATAGACAGCCAGGCCAGCAGCATTTCTGTGGACCAGCCCCAGTTGGACAAACCCCAGCCTTGGTCTATAAAAGGCTACAATGTACCTAAACTGGGCAAACTGGAGACGTGGTGGCCTGGCACATTTGTAGTTGGCAACAGAGAGGATCTGGAAACCTTCCCTGCAAATAATGAGAGGAAAAACTCTGATTAGTTAAATCCCAGATAATCCTGGCAGATGAAGACGGATCTGAACTCCTCAATAGATTTAGGGTTCCAAAGAGGGTGGCAGAGCCAGCAGACACTGGCCCTAGATCTGCACATGGTGTGGGAAGTCCAAGAGGAGTCCACACCGGGCTGTCAGTGTTCCATGGTGAGGTGCAAATCTCTCCACTCAAGTCCTCATCTGCCTCCGGGGCGGGGGTGTGTGTGTGGACATCCTGTGAGGGCAGCCTCCGGGTCAGATCCAGTTCTAGCTTCCCTGTCTTGAAGTGCTCAAGCACGCTGAGTGGAGCATGTCCGTCTCTTGCTCCTGGGTCTCCATCACTTGGCGACAGGTATTGGAGTTGCTGTAGCAGTGGGGCTGCAGAGGCACAGTGCTCCTTAGTAGAAGGGGGACCATGAAAGGCGATCGGCTTCCTTCCCCCAGCCCCAGGATTTCTTGTGTTGGAGCGGTTCATTGTGAAAGTTGAAGGACAGCTTGAGAGAGTAGGCTGTCTTTTTCCACTACGTTGTTCCAGACTCCTTGGGTAGTTGGACTTGGTAGAAAATGCCTTTACTCTCTGAGACCTCTAGAAGGTCCATGAGAAGATTCTTTGACATTACTTTCCCTTGCCAGAAAGGTGCCCAAAGGTCCAGCTCTCCTGCCAAAGGCTCCACTCATCCTGCCAGCTGGGCAGCGTTAGGGTGCTTCTGTTTAGGAATAGCAGGACCTCTTAGCCCCTTAGATCCCTAATCCAGCTCCTTCCTCAGTCAGGATCTGCCTCGCTGTCCTCATTTCTTTTTCCATGTTCCACGAGACAATTTTATTTATTTGAATAATCTCTGCAAAATGGGTTTATTTGGTAAGACCTTCCTCAGAGAGTTGGGAGCATATCTGCTCTAAATTGCCCCGGCAGCTGCGGTCGGGTGTTGCTTTGTATCTCTGACATCTACTTGGGGTGTGGTGAGATTGTCACATGGAGGCCACCTCCACCTCCTGAAGTAGATTAACCTAGGAGAAGGCAGCATGAGGCCTGGATTGGCTGCAACCTGTGGCAAGGTCTTTGGAGCCTCTTGTACTTGTGGGTGACACTGGCTGAATCACTTACCAGGTTACATCAGACTCCAAGAGAGCACACTCCTAAGTTCCTTAACTGCGAACCTAAATTCAGATTTACAGGAGATCACAGCTGCTAGTTGGCAAGGCTTTGCATCTCTGCCGACTTACCCTAAATCTAGAGGTAAAATTCGGCAACATTCCAGCCGAGCTGGAAAGGACTCCTCTCCATCTTCCCATCCACCCCTCCCGCGAGCAAATCAACGGACAATTATCCTGAAGGAAAGTTACTGGTTTGCTAATCCGTCAGAACAGCTTGGAGGGGAGATTTGGGTCTTCCTTTAATAATGGAAAGTTAATGCGCAGCCTCTTGTCATTGTCTTTCTTGGAGCCCCTTGCTTAATCCTCCGGCTTAGTGGTGGCGCCCCTCAAACAGCGAAGACAGCAAGGAAGCCGCGCCGGGCAGCGCTCTGACCTGGTCCTAGGTGGAGGAAGCGGGAGCCGAGTCCAGTGGGTCTCTGCTGTCTGGTTTGGAAACCAGGAGATTTTGAGAAGCTCAAGAGAGCAGGGCACCTGGGCTGGAGCCTGAGAAAGGAGTGGCTCTTCCGCGTGTTTTTTAAATTAATTTCTTTTTATATCACGTGCATTGGTGTATGTCTGTGTAAGGGTGTTGGGGCTCCTGCAATTGCAGAGGAAGGCAGGCCAGGCAGGCCTCAACTCCCCCGTCCTGGCCTAGACGGCTGAGAAACAGGACCTGACGGGACCTGCTTTCGTACGGACGCTGCAGGGCACCCTGGCACCAGGCTGTCCTCCCACGGACTCTTGCCTATGAAGCTTCGAAGACAGTTGCTAGCCGCCATGTGGGCCCTGGAACTGAACTCCGGTGCTCTGGAAGAACAGTCGGGGCTCTTAACCTCTGAGTCATTTCTCCAGCCCCCCCCCCCCACGTTTTAATTAGCTCCAATTTCAACAAATTTAAAATTTCCCACGTGCCAATCAGGTTGTCTTTGAATATTCATAAAACCAGACAGTAATTTGTTAGTCTCAGTGAGGAGTTTCAATAAATGGCCCCGTTTATTCCCCGCCCCGACCCCGTTTAGGATTGCTGAATAAATTACGGTACACCGTTATACTAAAACAGTATCCGTTGCCTACGTAAAAATCCATTGCTCACTGGGCTGTGTGTATTTCTGTTAAACCTGCCCGCAATCTTTGCCTCGCCTCCTCTCTTCTGCCCCTTTCGTAGCTCCAGAGAACTTGTGAATTTGTCGCGTTCACGCCCAGCCCTTAAATATCTAGTGAGCGAAGGGTTTGGCTGCTGGGAGGGGGGAGTGGCCCGAGGTGGGTTAATTACAAAATGTCAACTTCTTTCCTCCAGGGCTTCAGCCTGGGCGCTGAGTTGACGATGCCAGCCGGCGTGGTTTGGGTGGTAATGAGGGGGATGTGGTTAGGAACTCGCCCTAGAGCTTACAGGCAGTTGGGAGTGTGAAAAGGTTTTGGAAGGTCAAGGCTGTCCAGAAAAGAGACCCATCAAGATGTGGAACTTGTGGGCCTCATAGGGGCGGGCAGACAACACAGCCCTGTTGCTCACTTTTTCTCTCCCTCCAGGGAGTGGGGGTGGGTAGGGGACAGCAGGAGAGAGAAAGGAGGTGACTAGGAGGACGCAGCTGGGAAGCCAGCAACTCAGGGGAGGGGAGCTGGTGGCGTCTGAACCTGGCTGGTGGGAGCCTAGATTCGTCTGCCCCCTGCTGATTGGCGCCTTCTAGGCCGTCTAGGTCTCCCTGACGGCCTCTCCAGCATAAAAGGGGTCTCCGCACAGGTGGCCTGGAAGAGCTCAACTCCTCTCCCCTGGCCTACAGGGCTGCTGAGAAGCATGACCGGACGGGACGCGCTTGCGGATGGAGGCTGCAGGAGCAGAGCCCTGGCGCCAGGCTGTCCTGCCACCGGCTCTCGCCTTCGAAGCTTCGCCATCAGCGACCTGCTGGGACTGGAGGCCGATCTGCCGACCCCGGCGGGGCCCGGGCTAGGATCTGGCTGTGAAGCCCGGGCGGAGGCCGCGGGGTCCGGGCTGGGACTCTGCGGCTCCTGCCCCCCGCGCGGGGCTCTCCCGCTGGGGCTGGGCCTCCTCTGCGGCTTCGGGGCTCAGCCCCCCTCTGCGGCCGCTGCTCGCGCGCGCTGCCTGCTCTTCGCAGACCTGAGGCTGCTGCCGCCTGCAGGAGCGGAGCCTGCCGTCGCCCCGACCCCAGTGCGCCCGCCGCCTGCGCTAGGCTGCCAGCAGCGCAGCGAGAGCGTCTCCACGTCGGGTAATTAGTCAACGCTTCCCGCCCCCAAACCTCGGAAGGTCCGGAAGCGCTTGGGTAACGCTTGGTGGCCCTTCCAGACACTCCAGATCTCGGGAGGTTGGGATCCCAGAGAGATCGCAAGCCCCGACGGATCCTCTGTGCCTCTTGCCGTTGCTGGTCTCCAAACCCCAGCCTCTGCTCCCAAGTTCCATTCCCGCAGGCGGTGGGGACAGCCACCAAGGGTTCCGATAGACCCTGTGACCAGCCCCGCCGGCGCATTTCTCACAGCGCTTAGGGTCTTTGGGTGGCGAGTGATCGCGTAGACTGGGGTCCTGTATCCCTAAGGCAGAATCGACAGAACTGCCTGCTAGTTTAAGAGTGCTAACGGCAAACTGAACTCTTGGCCTCTCCGGGTGCTAGCTAAGAAAAGGGTTCCCGGTCTCCAGCCTCAATTTCTTTTCTTTTCTTTCTTTCTTTTTTTAATCACTCTCCCCGCAATATCCGCAGGTGAGAGAAGCCATCCGCCCACTCTATTGTAGTTAGGCTCACGTTTTGTTCGGGAGTCCACGTATTTTTCTCGGGCGGGCGGGTGGGTGTCTTGGTGGATTGTGAGGAGAGAGAAGGCAGCAAAGACATTCACTCCTCTGGGCAAGAGATTAGGAGGTTGGGGGATGTGAGACCGAGGGGAGAGAATTATAAACAAACAAGCAAACAAACAAAACCCGCGGATCCAGTGAACCGCTGTCAGGCGGAGCCAGGATACCACGCCAGAGGGAAGGAAGTCTGATGAGCAAAGAGGGCCTGCGGGTTTCTCAGCGGGGAACCAAATTTATCTCCTCTGCTTTGCTCCTCTGTAGGATGAAACGAAACCCTCTATATGTTGTATCATTAAAACCCCAAAAGCTATCTTCATAGGATGGCTTTTCCGAATATTAATAAAAGGAAAGGTAAAATGCAAGTACATTTTATTCTGCGGGACTTTTACTGCAGGAACAGATTGGTGAAAAATTCTGTCCCCTTAAAAGAAAAAAAGAAACGGTTGACATTAATTTAAATACTAGGTTATAAATCCAATATATGCAAATACCATTACTTTCATAAATCAATATAAAACTATTTTACTTCGGGGCATAGTAAGTCTTCCAGACTCACAGAGCGCTTTATGTCTGCCGCATGTCTCAGCAGCCATTTCTCATGCTCTCTCACGCACTTCCTCGCCCCAAGTATCCAGTTGCTTCCGGACACTCCATAGCACAACATCAAATGTTATAATCTAAATATGCCGTTTTGTAGTGATATAGAACAGTATTGGTGTTCTTCCGTTGCTTTTGTCTTTACTCGTTTAAAACATATTTGGGGGACAATTCTACTTTTGAGTGATGAATGTGGTAATAGTTTGGCTTCTAGCTTTCCTTACCCTGTGATCTTTTTGTGAATAGGGAGAGATAACCACAAACTTGAATGGTGGTGTTTCCAGGGGGCCTAACATCACTGGGACATGGGTGTTACGGATGCATAAGCTTCCTGGACCATGTCACTGGGATGGGTGCCTCAGGGCTGGGTGAGTTCTGACAAAGATTCTGATGCCAAAATCCCGCTTCTCAGAAATGTCTGCGTGGACATGAAGGGGAGGCAGCTGAAGCAGTTAGCAGCCAATCAGCATTGGGTTTACGGAATGTGAAATTTAGATTCCAGCTTCAGCACCACAACTCGACCTGTGTGATCTGGATGGGCAGCAATACCAGCTACTTACTGTTGTCTTTTTATTTATGGAGAATAACTGAAGTGATGCAGGCTGTCTGGAAGTGCCATCTTTGCTTGTGCATATCACTAAGTACGTTCTCAACAGACACACAGCATTAACCCTCACATTAAAATGCCCCAAACATAGCAAAACCTTTGACATTTTCAGAGAGTCATCTTTTTATGCCAACAGATGGGGACAGTCCATTTGAAGAGAAGAGTGACCCAAAGATGTCCCCTAGCCTGGGCAAGAGGAAGAAGCGGAGGCACAGGTATGGGTCCAGGCTGCCTGCTTGTGTTTCCTCAGATAGACACAACCATCTATGATAACAGCATCTGAGAATATGTAGAAGGCCCAGAAGTCTGCCGGTGGACAGCGGGGACCACACACAGCCATTTTCAAAGATGACCTGTAATTCTCGGGAGGCTACAGGAGAAGCTGTACAATTTTAAAAACAAGATTCTGTGGGTTTGTAAATGGGTTTTACCTTTCTGGCATATTTCATGCATGTTTCCGGCTCTCTGCAGGACAGTTTTCACTGCCCATCAGCTGGAGGAACTGGAGAAGGCATTTGGAGAGGCCCACTACCCTGATGTGTATGCCCGGGAAATGCTGGCTGTGAAAACGGAGCTCCCTGAAGACCGGATACAGGTGTCCAGTGCTGTCCTTTCTCTTTCCTGAAGATACGGCAGAGAACGTATCATTCCTACACACAGCGAGCAGCCCACAGCCACTCAGAACAGCCCAGCGCAGTCCTCTTCACTCGAGAACTGAGAATGACTTAGTTTAAGGCACTACAGGGCTCCTTCTAGCCTTTTTATCATTTTTTTTCTTCTATCATTATCTTTAACCAAGCCTCAAACATTACACAGTTGTGGGCCATCAAGATGGCCTCGTAGCTTAAGGCTTCTGTCACTACCATGACTTATCTACACCTGATTTGGATACCTGGGACCCACTTGCTAGGAGAGCACTAACACTTGCAAATTGTTCTCTGACCTCCATGTGTGTGCTGTGGCACACCAGTTTCTACACTCGTGCACAAAAGTAAAATGTCACAATGAAAATGATGCTTTAAAAAACCACACACTTGTGTGTTGTCCTAGAAACTGCATGAAGGTACATTAGTAAAAATGTTTAGTTTTCATCTTCAGTTCTTTAAGAAATCACCATGTGAAGCTGAGTAGGCCGGCTTCCGTGCCATATGGGCATCCACCCCGAAAGTTCTCTTGTGCTGGCAGATACACTCTTTGGGAGAGTTGCCAGTGACTCACTGCTCTAAACTTCAAGATATCTTGTCATCTTGTTTAAATTAATGTACTTTTCTTCAAGAGAAATAGCAGCCACCCATCAGTCTGAGATCTGAAGGGGCCAAATGGACTTTGGCTAAAAGTCCGTAAGTGCTTCTGTGGATTTCATAAACAGAAAACCCCAGACATTCTGTGGCAGCCCTCTTACAAACTGCAGGAAAGGGTCTTTTTCATTCTTTGTTTTTGCTTTCTGATTCCTTAGAAAACGTCAGAGAAAGTGGCTCCGGCCTCATACCCAGGATGCTGAGTCCTTGTGGGTTTGGAGGTGCAGGCCTGTGGGCGGAGAATGTGCCCTTGGTAGACCCAGAGTCCTGGAGTGTACGCTTTCCTCCAGGCACCCCTTTTCACAAGCATCTCTCCTTGAGTCCCTTGGCGTCCCCTCTGCCTCTAACCAGGTCTGGTTCCAGAACCGGAGGGCCAAATGGCGCAAGCGAGAGAAGCGCTGGGGCGGCAGCAGCGTGATGGCTGAGTACGGGCTCTATGGGGCCATGGTGCGTCACTGCATCCCACTGCCTGACTCTGTGCTCAACGCCGCAGACAGCCTGCGGGGCTCCTGTGCACCCTGGCTTCTAGGTAAGATGGGTGCCTGAAAGCAAGACCAGAGAGGCGGGCGGGGTTCTCACTCAGCTTTAGGCCCAGTCTGACCTCTAAATTTCTCTTTAATTCCGAGCCTTAATTTTCTTTGGAACTGTGGATGCAATGTGTGGGGAAATTCCCCTTAGGCTAGTCACAATGGTAAGTATGTATTCAAAACTTACAAGTGGACAGATAGATTTGCATTGTGTTTGATACACATTTTCAAAGTGGTGAATGCTGCTAGAAAGTTTAGAGCCCTCCGTGGTGGTGAATGCCTTTAACCCCAGGACTTGGGAGGCAGAGTCTAGCCTGGTCTACAGAGTCTCAAGACAGCCAGCACTCCGCAGAGAAACCCTGTCTCAAAAAAAAAAAAAAAAAAAAGTTTAGAAGCCATAGGGTTTAGGGCGCAAGGTAATAGGGCCATGCAGAGAAGGGAGAATCTAGAGCATCCAATTCTGTCTGAACTGCTGAAGCAGTAGGTCAGGTCCAGGTCCTGATTAGTGAGTGCCTCTCCTGGTGAGGCCAAGCCCTTTTCTGGGCTCCTATCCCTTATTACTGTTTGCATTCAGAGTTTGTAGGCTTGGCTCGGCACTCCTGGTGAATTAGTTAAGTGGATCATAGTGGGATTTTAGGTTGGGAAACTTCAGAAAACAGTTTTCCTACCAGGTGCTGTGCTACCAAGCAGAGATGCCGTGGTTAATGCAGCCCGGACTTTGTCAGAGGACAAGATTAGAGAGAGGTGGAGGGAAGGGAGAACCAAGTGAGTCCTCTGAAATCCACACAAATAGTAGTACTTGCTGGCCTCTACTGGACCTCGGCCACACAGGCAAGTGCTGAACTAGAGTCACTTTGTTATCTAAACAAACATGAAATCACTGTGTTACCCAACACAACAATTTTGCAGGAATGACAGCTGACAAATAGAATCTTTCAAACCCTAATGAGTGAGTTACCTGGCAGCTCTCCTCTAGGTGCCAGAGGAACACTGACATATTAAATTTTAGAGAGAGTGAAAGAACAGTGATAAGGAAAGTTAGGTACTTAGTTACTGAATTTTAAAATGTTTTTGAGCCTGAGGTGGTGGCACACGCCTTTGATCCAAGCAATCAGAAGGCAGAGGCAGGCAGATCTCTGAGTTCAAGGCCAGCCTGGTCTACATATTGATATCCAGGACAGTCAGGACTACATAGAGAGGCCTGTTTCAAAATAAAACCAACCAATCACCAACCAACAACAGCAACAACAAAAATTCCAAACAAATAACAAAACAAAACAACACATTGTTATTGTTTTCCCTTTTTATTTTCCAGGGATGCATAAAAAGTCTACAGGGATGAGGAAACCAGAAAGTGAAGACAAGCTGACAAAACTCTGGGTCCTTGACCATCTTAAAGAAGGTGCTAATAAGGGTCAGGACGGACCTGAGAGGGGCCCAGATGAAACAAGCCTAAACCCTGAGGATAACTTGGAAGATGTGGCTATTGACCTGTCCAGCTCTTCCAGGCAGGAGGCAAAGAAGATGCCCCTGCTGTCCAGTGCTCAGGGACATTCTCATGCCCAGCCCCCAAAGATGGGAGCCTCATGAGACTGACAGATTGCTCCCCCAAAAGTTGGAAATATGCATATTTTCCAGGAGACAAAAATGGTCGAAGACAAACACCTTCAGTTTGAATTTCTTCCTGAAACATCTGGATAAAAGTCAACACTACAATATTGGATAAATGATGACTTAGAGAAAGTTGCATTTAATTCTAGAGTGGATAACAACTTCTTGAACCAGTTATTTTGGTCTAAAATGTTGTTTCTCCTTCATAGAATTTGAGCAGGGAAGACTTGAAGTTCAAAGACAATTTTAGGGATTGCGTATCATGTAGCTCAGTTGATAGGACCCATGAAGGCAATCCCCAGCACCACATAAACCAGGCATGGTGGCAAATATCTGTAGTCCCCAGCAATCAGGAGGTGGAGAGGGGATCAGAGATGTTTAAGACCATCCCAGTTTGAGGCCAACCTGGGCTATACAAAACCTTACTGAACCCAGACCATGGAGACACACACTTTTAATCACAGCATTCAGGTAGGCAGAGGCAGGTGGATCTTTGTAAGTTTGAGTCCAGCCTGGTCTACAAATCAAGTCCAGGACAGCCAAGGTTACACAGAGAAACCCTGGCTTGAAACAACAACAACAACAACAACAAAAAGACCTTAGAGAGAGAGAGAGAGAGAGAGAGAGAGAGAGAATTACTACTTGGTATCATTTGGGATGTAGTTCAATCATTAAGAGGGCTGGTTTAATTTCTTTACTCTAAGTTAGAACATTTGGCTTGGTTTTGTTGAGATAGGGTCTTGCTGTGCAGCCCAGGCTAGCCTCAATCAATTTCATGATCTCCTTAGCCTCTCTAGTGCTTGGGTTACAGGTGTGAATATAATTGCTTTACATTCCTAGGAGAAGCCTCTACACAAATGAATGAGTGAATGAGTGAATGCTATATTACCTTTCCTTGAGCTGGATCTAGGACATTCTTGTTTTCATGGTAGGTGGTAATTTTGTGTTCTGAGTCACTTGATATGTGTTGAATATTCGACCCATAAACAGCAAAGAAAGCCGTACTCAGCCAGGTGCAGTGGTGCACACCTGTAATCCCAGGACTTGGGGAGGCAGAGACAGGCGGATCTTTGTGAGTTCAAGGCCATTCTTGTATACAAAGTGAGTCTGGGACAGCCAGAACTACATATAGAAACCCTGTCTTTTAAAAAAACATAACAAAACACAAGAAAAGAAAGCCATACTCCCTTCCTTCACTGAAATCACCTGGTGCCATGTTTAAGCAATTGTTAAGTATCTGGAGACTGTCTGAAGGTCAGATCCAACTTCTTAGTCCTTTTGAATTTATGTTTGAAAGCACTTTAGTGTCTTGGATTCTTGAATGTTTTCTTTCCTGTATTTCCTTTGGCATTTATTTATTATTCAAAAATAAATGTGCGGTGTGTCTGGCTCAAGGCTACTTGCTGGCCCCCTGTTGGGCTCTCCCCTCCTGTCCTTTTTCAGTCTGGGAGCATGCAGAGCAGGTTTTTCTCAGGCTGCAGAACTTAGCACAGGGTCCATGTAGTGTACTGTGGGGGCAGCCCTGGCTGAGTCACTGTTTAGAGTGCAGGGTCTGAAGAAGGGTGGTCTGTTTTGGGGCAGCTTCCTCTGCAGATTACCTCAGGACCCATCAGCTTGGGCTACCCCCACCTCCCCACTCCCGCCTCAGTCTCTTTAGATAAGAAAACTGATAGTCTCTTCCTTTGCTCTAATTTTATCCTATGTTAGTCCCAGACTGTTATTAGTATCAACAACTACTGACTCTTTGCTATGGATGGAATAAGTCTTCTCTCTCTGATTTCTTCTGACTGTTACTGAACCTGGCTGAGTCCTGGGACTGAACCTGATGACAACCAGAAGTCCTTCCGTCCTTCTTCCCTAGAGATGGCAGCTCTTGCTCTGAGCCCAGGGCCACACTCATCTAGACTCTTTCATCTCATGAGGACAGTGTGTATGTATGTATGTGTGTGTGTGTGTTCACATACATTTTTCTTTTAAAAAATTGTTTGTTTTTTAATTTATGTGCACATGTGTTTGTTTTGTTTGATTTGATTTTTTTTTGAGACAGGGTTTCTCTGCGTAGCCTTGGCTGTCCTGGACTCACTTTGTAGACCAGGCTAGCCTGGAACTCACAGAGATCTGCCTGCCTTTTTCTCCCAGAGTGCTGGGATTATAGGCGTATGTGCACATGTATTTATGTGTATTACACGTGTTTAAGAGCCCACAGAGGTCAGAGGGAGTCCTGGATTCCCTGGAATTAAGAATTATAGGCTGTTGTGAGCTTCTATGGGTTCTAGGAGCTGAGTGTTGGTCTTCTATGAGAGCAGTAAGCATTCATAATTGCTGAGCCATCTCTCCAGCCCCTCTCACTAGTTTTTATCAAGCGCTATGCTCAGATTCTCGCTCCCATCCTTCACTTTAAATTTATCAAAAGTTTGAGAAATGGAGCCACTAACTGTGTGTACTTCCTCACAACAGAAACACCCCTGCCTACAGGCAGGAGGAGGCCCATACCTAGGAAGCTCAAGAAAATGAGCATCTCCCTGAAGCTCAGAAAGTTAAAGAAAAATGCATGTGGCTCACCCCAAGGATATGAAAATAGCTTCAGGGAAGTGAGATCCTCCAGCTAGGTGGCTCTGTGAAGACAATGCTCAGGGAGCTCTAGAGATGCTCTTTCTATGAACCAATACCTGGGCCGTGGCAGGCTTTTTGCTTACATGGCTGCCTTTGAGTCATCCATGTACCTGTAAGTGGCAACGGTAGATTCACTGGTTCACTCCCTGAGCTGCACTGGGGTAGAATGGTTCCCATGGTCTGTTGTCAGTGCCCTGTCTGGAAGGAATAGAAGTTTGTTTGCATATCCCAGGACAAGTGACACCACAGCCATGCTCCTTCAGTGTGTCACTCTTGTCTATTAGTAAAGTACTAATGCTGTCAGTGCACTAACTGATCACAGTGAGACCAGTGTGAGATGATCATAAATGTTGCTGAGTGAGAAATCCTTCGGGGGGGGGCACAAGTAAAAATAAAGATGTTTAAAGTACAATGAAAAAAACAGTTGACAACTGGTTCTGAATAAACCCATGAACAGTAGAAAAATTTCTTTGAAATATAAAGGAAAACGAGAGATCAAAAATGGCGTGAGAAAAGGGGAGACCCATATATTTATATACATACAGGTGCACCCACACGCACGTGAACACACATAGACATGAATTCACACCACGCAGGCACGCAGTTACTCACAGAAGAAAAGCCCGCAGAAAGTTAAAAGCCTAGTTTCTAAAAGCGCTGCTTAATCCTGGGTGTGGCGGTGCACACTCTGTTCCTGACAGTCCGGAGGCCAAGGGAGGAGGATTGCGAGCTCAGGGCTGGCTTCTCATGGCAACAGAAAAGTAACTGATAAGACATGGTATCTTCTTTGAAACTGGCATGTGTCCTCCCACATGACCCAGCCCTTTCTGGATGGCTTATCTGGACTAACAAGGTGTAAGTGCAGACAGCTGCAGGCTGTATTGTTTAGGACTCGGTGATAAGGGAAAACCAGCGTATGTTAACTTACCCATGTGCTTTAAAAATATCTTTGATTTATGGTAGAGTGGGTCTACAACTATGGAGCAAAATGGTGCAGAGAAAGAAGGCTGACCATGAATAAAAACAGGAGGGGTGAAATCCAGTGGTCCTGGCAGCAGCCTTTCATCCCAGCACTCAGGGTGTCAGAGGCAGGAGGATCTCTGTGAGTTCAAGTCTAGCCTGGTCTACCGAGAGAGTTCCAGGACAGCCCGGGCTGTTATACAGAGAAACCCTGTCCGGAAGGAAAGACAGGGTGGAGGAGGGCTTCGGGGCACTTGTCGAGAAGGAAGTTAAAACTCCCACTAATTTCTAAACAAAATAAAGTGACTACAGTGAGTCGCAGTCTCACAGAACCCAAAGTGTCAAAAGGCTTTCTGGTTTGGCTCTGAAGTGTTCTCCTCTGAGCTGTAAGGTAGAGACCCAGCTTCACCTTTCCCTGTATGGATAATAAACAGTTGTCCATCAGAGAGCCGACTTCCCCATCCCCATCCAGCTACTGTGAAACAGTCTCCCTGTTCTCCAGCTTAAACTTCTCCTCGAGGCTCCTGCATGTTGATTCAGTGCACAGACTGCTTCATAGCCTGTTCTGGTGGGTGGTCAGGTAAGGTTGGGTTTTAAATGTCCCCCAAAGCCGTGCATAAAAGGCCCTGCTGCCAGCCGGTGGCCTGTTGGGAGGTGGCAGAGCGATTGAGGTGCGGTCCAGTGGAAGGGACTTAGGTCACTGGAGTTGTGCCCTTGAGAGGATTTTAGGATCCTGCCCCTCCTTTCCTTCCAGCCACTATGAGTTGGGCAAGCTCCTCTGCAGTGTCTTTAGTCTCAACACCAGGAGGCTAACCAGCTACGCAGGGAAAACTCTGAAATCCTGGGTACAATTAAACTCTTCCCGTATGTTGGTGGCCTCGGGTTTTTTGTTTGTTTTGTTTTTGTGTTTTTGTCTCAGTGACTGGATCACCTTTGGGAGACCCCTTGAACGCTGCTTAAGTTAGCTCACTGGAGAACTCCGTATTGGCACTGCTCTCACGTTTTGACTTCCCTTCGTGGGTTCATGCAATGCTGAAGGTTCTGCAGATTTTAGACTGGAGAGTCCCAGCCTTCCTATTTTCTTACTTTAGTTCTCACCTTTGCTACATTGTTGCGAGAATAGAACCACACGTGTGACAAGTATGCAGATAAAAAGTTGGTCTGGAGGGCAGCCTCTTTCAAGGGCCATAGCCCTCGGCTACTCAGGCGTCAGAGAAACTGGTATCTCAGGTTTCCATGAACTTTACTAGCCCCTAAAAACAAGTTCAACTGGCGGGGGAAGGGGAATAAGCCTTGGGACCTAGTTTGTCACAGATGGCACACTGGCACCGCCTGCTGGCAGGTTCGGGTAACACACAATCTCTCTGTCCATTCTAAAGCCACACTTTTGAATTACAGGGAATTTT